CTATGAAAAACATATCTTTATGTAACATATGGGTCCCTTGAGTAACTTTTTCTTTGCTTTGATTTGTGAATTTTCATGCAGGAAACCATTGGGGACCTCACAGGCTTCTCTAACTACACATATTTTAAGCCATTTAAAAGCATAGGACAGTGTACCTTTTGTGACTTGAGTATTACCCAGCCTACTACTTTCCATACCACTATCTCAAAATCCTTTGGAAGTTACCTTTAAACAATAACAAAATCAATTAAGAATGTAACAATGCATAAGTAAGATACCAAACCTGTTAAAAGGAGCTAAAGCTACAATTTTCTTCCTTGTTAAGTATTCCTCCCCTATCAAGAGCCAATTAGCACAACGGATCAAAGAAACATATGCTTCTTCCTTATGATCTTCAGCAATGCAAATTAATAAGGGTACTTACTACACAATGAATCGAAGCAAATGATATAGAAATGTAAGATATTTATATATAAAAAAAAAAGGATTTAGAAACATATCCAAATTGTAAAGAAAAGAATCCATATATGATTGACAGCTAGGGAAGATTGAGCCAGTTTGTTTCCATGCCACAAGCAAACTTCCTTTTGGCCTTGGTGAGAAAGAGAAGCTTGCCTTGTACAAGTAAAGCCAAAGTTTAAACAGACATGGCCCCACAATTTCATTACTATATATCTGTTTCCTCTATCTCATTTAGGGATCTTACACATGGTCAGGATAGTGTCCTTCTAGTATTGATTCTCACAGTGATTGTGTGAGCAAAGGCTTCCCAATATTGCTCTCTAGAGATTTCAAGTTACATGCTCTATTGAAGAATTGCTTACCAAAAGTAGGTTAAATTAGAAAGAAGAGAAGAAGGATTCAACACATACCTCAGTTACGTCACTTTCGTAAGGTTTTCTTTAAGTTAGAAGAAATGGTTAGGATGGTTATAGATGTTTATGACATACAAATGGAAATCATGTGTTGCAAGTTGTTCTCTCAGACGTTAAAGGAATCAAAGGAAGCCATATAAAAAGGAGAAACTCTAACTGATTTCATGTCTCAAACTGTATACAGCTATATCTCTGCTTAACAAACACATAAGGCGACATACACCATTACTGATTCTAGAATTATCATAAGACTGCCATCTAGGACTTGGCAACAAACAAAATGGCGATTGATGGACAAAGACACCTGCAAAAATGTAACCAAAGGAGCTAAGAATATGTGACAGAAGAAACGGAAATGAAAACGAAATGATCTTGCATCACATGACTCTAGTATTCTGCAAATCAAAGCATTTGAAATGTAACAGCCAGAAGAGTAGCAACATATATTCACTTATTTACATTCGAAAACTTACTCTAGTATTCAAAGGTTGAACAAACTCGCACTTTAATCTCAGACTCTGTTCATTGCCTTTATCCGAAAAAGGACCAGATGTGACCGTTGAGGTTCACTGTGAATTTAAGATTTTCTTGGCTTTTGAGCCCATTTTGGTCCATATATGGCTAGATGTGTCCGGCCAAACCTTCGATCAGTCATCTGTATGAATTAAATTATCATCAACATTTATACATTCTCATTCATTACACAAGTGATAAAGAGGAAATAGTTACCTTTTCAAGGCATCCACATGAATCAAGCATTGTGGTTCGTGAAGGGTACTCAACCACCTAGAACAGAACAGGTCCAGATGATTTTGAAATACACAGTCACCAAAATTACTTATGAGACGGTTTAAGAAGCGAAATGCATAGCGACTCACAATAAATGTATTTTCCCCAATTGCGGCCGACTTAGAAATCTGATCCATCAGAACCTCATAATCAACCTCCATGTAAGGCGGTGTAACACTGATATAATCAAATGCTCCATCCTTACCTGATGATAGTAAAGAATACTCTTAAAACAGATACTATTTAAAGATGAAGTTTCCAAGTAATAATGAGCGATGAAATTGACAACTATTTAACATCTTCAAGACTAGACATGCCTACTAATTTATCAGCACGTTCCAAGAAGTTTTCAACTCGAGCAGTGTGTATAACCGAAGCATCAACAAACCCAGTGTGTTCCAAGTTTGGTTGTAGAACATTTGAAACAACCCAAGGATCCATCTCAACAAAGTGTGCCTGTGAAGAAGTCAAAGTCCAAGATGCAAACAAAGTTTCAGTGATCATTTAAATAAGAGAGAATCAAACAATGGTCACACAAAACAATTCCTGCCATAGCAGTTATTTATTTCTTCGTTACCTCAGAACATCCTCGACTGATTGCTTCAATTCCAACAGATCCTGTACCACTATACAAATCCAACCACCTACCAGGACGTAGAGATGTTGGGCAACCACCAGCAGCCTATAGAATGAGGCTAAGAATCAGTCTTGGAATGTTAATCGCACAAAACAGTGAAATTTCTAATCTCAGGCGATAATTCGGCTGATTGAAGAGAAGAAGCTCCTAAAACTTAGCTAAAAACAGTCCAATTCTCATAACTCTTACCTGGAGAATTCCAAAAGCAGCTCCTTTAACAACTTCCATCATAGGTCTCACATCCATTCCCTTAAGAGAAAGCAATTTCTTTCGTTTAGCCGTTCCTGCAAGAACCTAAAGCACCCAACACATTAGAGGAAACTGAACAAAAGAAACCCAAAAAATAGAACATAAAAATGCTTCAAAACACCATGAAAGAAGCAAATGCAGACCTGAAGTAACCTATGAGTTGTTCTTGGCTGTACAACAA